ATACATAATGGAGTACTACTCTGCCATCAAGAAGGAAAGATAGGTCAATTGTAGGACAATCGATGTACCTTGACACCATAATGTTAAGTGAAATAAATCAGACAGAAGCTTAAATATTGCATGGTTTGTCTTATAGCAGAAACCCAAAATATCATTAAAAGGTAAAATAAAAGATGGATAATAGGAAATACAAAGATCTTTTGTAAAAGGGAGTGAACTAAAAGAGGAAGTAAGGAGGGAGAGAAGGAGAAAGGAATACAAAAAGAATTAAAATGTGTTATATGTGTGTACAAACTCTGCACAAGAACTATAATCACTTCTACTGTGAACATACACTAATGAAAAACAAAACTTGGAGAAAAAAACCTAAATGAATCATTATGCAATGAATTGATTACTTTAAAAATCCCACAAAAATAAACTAAAACTATTAAAAGAAATAACATTTTAAAAAATTAATTTCATTGGTACATTTTAGGTATATAATATATTACATTCAGGGCTGGGGATTTAGCTCAATGGTTCTGGGGCTTGCCTTGCAAGCACAAGGACCTGAGTTAAATCCCCGGTACCAAAAATAAATAAATAAATAAAATATTATATTCATCATTGGAAATTGGTACCTTTACATATGTATTTGATTCTTATTTTCCCCCATTCCCTTGCCCTCCTTTCAACCCCTCCACTCATCTGTATTTACAAAGACTTTGTTTCCATTTTTTAACAGTACAAGGCAAAAACTAGATATGCAAAAAGTTTTAGATTTCTATATTCTAACAGTAAATATGAGAATAATACTTATACATAATGCAATGAAAATAATAATTACTTGAAAATAAAGTTAACAAGCAATCTGCAAAACCTACCTGGAGACAATGATAAGATTTTAGTAAGAGAAGAGACTCAACAAAGGAATGAATAAAAATACTTTCCTATGAAGGAAGTTAAAACATGAGTGTATCAACTCTACGTAACTGTAATGTAATCCTTATAAAAATCTTAATGGAACTTTTTGATTTTGAAAAAAATATTCTAAGTTTTATATGGAAGATTGAACATATGCCACCCATGGTCATTTTTAAAAGAATAGTTACAAAGAGGGAGTATGCTGCAACCAATAGAACTTTAAAATACTGCCTTCATCAAAACACTAATTCTTCATTCACATAAGAAAACTGGAGAAACAGGATTTTGTGGCAGAAAGCATAGCTAGATATCAAGAAGAGAATACAGGTTAATTTCTAAAGACGACTAATAATTCATCTGGTCTGTGTTATGTTCCAGTTATAACACATACCTCAAACTCATACCTAGGTAAGCTTGACCAGGGGATACAGTCTTACAATCTCAGCACCAAAGGAAGCAGGGCTGGAGGACTGCATGTTTCAGGCCACTGGGTGACTTAGTGAGAAACTTTCTGGGGCTGGTGATGTAACTTGAAGGCACTTGGATCAATTCACAGTACTTAAAACAAATGACTGTAGATTTATACATTAGCTTCAAAACAAGTAGCTATGAAGCCTCATAGCTAAATACATGTGCAACACTGTATTTCAGATGTTACATAAATTCTTCCTGTCTTCTCTGTACCTAGGAGGGATATCTTTATTAAGTCATATGTTTATCTTAGACACGAAATCCATTTGGCCTTTCATTCCTTAATCTAGCATTATTATATGTACAGTATAGGAATAAATATCGTTGAATACAGGATGTGTGCATGATCCTAAAGGGAAATATGGGCTTAAACCAGGAAATATTTCTTATTTACTGGAGGAGGGGTAGAACACAGATAGTAATACTTTTCAAACTGTGTGTGGTAACTAGAAACAAGGTCTGTTTCACCATGATTTTATTACTAAAGTTTGGGGCACAGTTTAGAAAATGCATTTGCGCTGGGGTATGTCACAGTTCTGATGTTGTCCAGAAGCTGTGTAAATGCAAATTCAAATAGAAGACTGGATATATCTTTATTAGCCCTCTTTCAGAGGTGAAAGGGATTTTGGGGAAGAAGGCACCTGTGCAACAGCCTGAAGTTTGTACATTTCCCCAAGTTGAAAATGATGGAAAGGTATTGACATGCTTGGCTTCTTTTCCTTTTTATTTCTCGTAAGTAAAAGTGTCCCTCTCCTTCCCTTGATCTTTCTGCCTAAAGCTTGTATTCAGTTGATATTTTCTTTACGTAAAACTTAAAACTTCCAAACTATAAATGTCACCTAAATGACTCATTCTATTAAGGTACTGGGGCTTCACTCAGGCGTTTAAATAAAATGTTTGAACAACAGTTTAAGAAATGACTGGCAAAATAACTTTCAGTGACTATGTAGTCAGCCCTCTGGACAGATATCAGCCTGGACTCCATGACTTCACTAATTTTCTTTGATTTATGCTTATTATTAAAATATTTTAGTAACAATTTAATAAACTATCGTGATTAAGAGTTCAGATATCTACATAGGGCAGTTTGAGGTTTGAGTAGGACTCTGCTTCGTAGCTTTGTAACCAGAGGTGAGGTCATATTCTGCTTCTAATTTTCAATTTATTCCCTTGTAAGCAAGTTAATAATGGTATCATATCATATATTATAGGACAGTGTTAAATATTATCGTGTAGTACAGAACCTAGAGTACTTGCTGATGATGAAATCATGGAGTGCGTATAAAGCTTTCAGAATAGGACTGATGTAAAGGATGAAATCAATTGAAGCTATTATTTCAAAAGGAGTAGTGCTCATAATATTTAAACGACTTCCTTCCTTTAGGACAAGGAGGAAAACGTTTAGCAAAACTGTTGCAGAGAACTTGGGGAGTCCACTGTGAGGAATGAGGAACGTAAGGAAGGGGAAAACATCTCTGTGCTCTGTTTTGGTTATTGTTCCTCCCATGCATTAAACTCCATTCTTTTCTCACGCTAAACAGCACACGGTTGTTAGCCCTGACTTTCTGAACCACTTTGTACTGATGGTGCAACCAGTTCATTGAGACGAAATCACTTCGCCAAAGGAAACAGCAGTAAAACAGAAATGTCAGGCTTCGAGCTGAGACCTTATCAGTAACAGATCCCAGTCTACTTGTGCTACACCTTACTGCTCTTGTAATTGAGATGCGTGGGGAAAGACCCCTCAGGAGAGCTTCAGGCTTCCTTACCCTGGGTTTGACTTTGAGTCAAGGACACATAGCCTGCCCTCTAGTGAGCATAGGGCAGAAATGCGACGTGGGTGGTGCAGAAGGATGGTGCGTGCAGGTGGCCAAGCGTGAGTCACCTCGTGTCAGGGCCCAGTGGACAGCTCCACTGCTGGCCTGCGAAGGTTGGCGGTGAACTGGACTTTACAAAAGGAGAAGCCAGAGTTAAACAGTGGCAAACAAGTACATTCTAGGCAACCCACACACGAAAAATGCAAATACGTTAATACCCAGTAAATTTTCAGTTTGACTTTAGCTTTGACATATTTGGGCCAAACCAGACAAAATGTGGGACACAGACTGAGAAAATATCAGCACAGGGCTTTATAAATCTGATGAGCCATGAGGGCAAAGCATGGATAGTTGCTGGGAGTGTCTGTACGCAGAACTTCGTCAGACTTGGTTTTCTTAGGCACGTGTTAATTGTACTCATTTTAGTTCACCACTTGCTAGAGGTAAGAGAAAGAATGGTGTTGAGGAGTGGAGCACACTGTAGATGTGAGTTCGGCAGGGGTGCTGGTGGGACACTCCAAGCCAGAGTCCTTCTTCCTCCATGGCTACTTTGGGGGCTTCCTTTGGGTTATTAATTTATGTAGTTTTGAAGTACTGAGGTGAAGCTAAGGGCTATTCTATCACTGAGCTGTATCTGCAGCATTTGTTTTTTAATTTAAAATTTGGAGAGTGAGTCACCAAATTTCCCAGGCTGGGCTCAAACCTGTGATCCTCTCGCCTCAGCCTTGTAGCATCACGTCTGGCATGAAGTTATTTGAGACTCCAGCCAAGACGTTTTTTTGCAGCTCCTCTTTCTATCTACTGGACTGATTTACCTAAAATCAATGGGTCATTGCTTTAGCTAAAATCAGTGGGTCACTACTCACCAGCCATATATCACATGAGTCTAAGAAATGAAGGACATGCAAGCTAATGTGGGTAATGTGTTTCTATTCCGGCATCTATGGGACCCCACAAATGCAAGCTCTAGAGTTCCTCAGACAGTTGATTAACTCAGGATATTCCCTGAAGGAAAAAGATAAGCATCAAAGGACCTTGAAGCCACCCAGATATTGCTGCCAATGCATAGGGCCCACCCCTTGCTCTCTCTCTCTCTCTCTCTCTCTCTCTCCCTTTCTCTCTCTCTCTCTCTCTCTCTCTCTCTCTCTCTCTCTCTCTCTCTGTCTTTCTCTCTACCTCCTTCAAAGGGTACATTTAGAGTTTTGAAGTTAGGAGGAAAATTGCGCAACCTGCAATAACTGCTACAGTAAATTCTTGGGTCAGAAAATGCCTATGTTTGGTGCTAAGGGTTTTGCTGAGCTACTTTATAAATTAAATCATTCAGGAGTAAGTGAAGAGTAAATTAGATAATGCATGAAGCTTACTTAGATACTTCCTTGCAAGTCATCAGGAATCAGTGCGAAATGGCTGATATCCATGAATAATCACAAGCTGTATAAACTAAATCAATCTCTGTATATACTCATTAGGATATTATGTTTTGTAGCATAATATACAGTATTTGACAGACTGGTTATCAAGCATTTCTCCTAACCAACCACGACTTTGACCTTGTAGTCTATATGCTAGCTTCATTCTCCTTCCTAGAGGAGATAGTAAAAAGGTAACACACAAAATTCAAGACTTACATACTGCAAGGAAGTGAATGGTTTCTTTTAAGTGACCTAAAATTACATGATAGTAATTTGGCAAAAGGCACATCGCATTGCTGCTCCAGCAGTGTAACTGAGTAACTTATCAGGAGTATGAGTGAGTCTCTCCCATCCTGAAGGTGTGCGCTCATGTGCTGCTTTCTTGTCTTTGCAGATCCCCCAGATTAGTTACGCTTCAACGGCACCTGAGCTCAGTGATGATCGGCGCTATGACTTCTTCTCTCGTGTGGTCCCTCCTGATTCCTTCCAAGCCCAGGCCATGGTAGACATTGTAAAGGCCCTAGGCTGGAATTATGTGTCTACTCTTGCATCCGAAGGAAGTTATGGAGAGAAAGGTGTGGAATCCTTCACACAGATTTCCAAAGAGGCAGGTAGGAAGCAACTGCAATCATCAAATTGACCCCCTTTAAAAATCTGTGACTTGCAGGGTTCTCTTCAGAGAGATAATTATTCTGTCCTACTCCTGCATCCCCAAGTTCTGGGAAGTACTTCTGTAAGTCTTCACTTATAACATGTTGTTTTTGGAAAAGGTTTCAGAAGCCTGAAGCTGAAGTCTCTTAAGTACTTACTAGTAGAAGAGATGAAGAAAATGAAATGTGTATTAAATTGGCATTTTATTTCTGCCAAATAGATAAGGAGGTGGATTTCACCTTTTATGTGGAAACCTGAGAAAATGTGACTCTATGTGTTTCCTTGTGGATTTATTTTTCTCTCAGCTACTCCCTCAGATAGGAAGAATTATCTAGAGTTATGTAAGTTCATTCACAGTGCTACTTTGATTTGAAGAATAGTAATAGTTATGACTCTGAAAGTCTTGATGACTTGGCCAGAACAAATTATCCAGGATGTAGAATGTAATTAGGCAAGTAGTGTTTCAAATGTTAAATTACTTGGGGAAAGACAGTGCTATTTAATAGCACCTAAAGAGAATTCTTTTATGTTTGTTTATTCAGCTCAAATTGGAAGTACTGAGTTCAAAGTTTTGGCCAGCTATTTTCCTTTGAGCAGAATTTGCAATTGAGACAAAATTCTCACACTTAGAAATCTTAATAATGAATATATAAGCTTCCCAATGTGAAAGCATGGGATATAGCATTTATAGTATACCTACATATATTATGTATTTCTATATATATAAAACAGTTCCCAAGCATGAATGTAATATATATGCATATATATACATAATATAAGTAAAACCTTCAATTTTGCTTATGAGAATTTTTGTTACAGTGATATAGGCATCCCCATGTTCATAGCAGCATAATTCATAATAACTAAATCTTGGAAGCAGCCTATGTGTTCCTCAGTGGATGGATAGATAAAGAAAGTGTGGTATTTACCCACAACGGAGTACTACTCTGCCAGAAAGGACACAGTTGAGTCATTTGCAGGACAATGAGTATGCCTTGAGACTGTAATGTAGAGTGAAATAAATCTGCTGCACAGTTTAAATATCACTTGGTTTCTCTATACAGGAAAATATAAATAAATAAAAGACAGCTAATAGGAAATAGGGAGACAGACCTTTCTCAAGTGGGAAGGAGAGCAAGAGATAGAGGGGGGTGGAGAGAGGAAAAGGAAAGGGGATGAAAGGATTAAGATGTGTCATGTGCACGTATCAACTGCACACAAGAAATGTGAATATGTACTGCAAACGTCATAATAAAAATGAGTTTTATCCGATACAATTACTATTGAGGAGTACAGTTAAGTAGCTAGAAAAGCCAACACATTAGCAAGGCAAATGAAGCAGAGGTCCGTTTTATGAGGAAGGGTGTCACAAATCTTGAAGGTAAGGTTTTGAGTGATTGACTATCAGAGTACCTGTGTATTCAGACATGTGCCGTTTCCCACTATGGCTGATATCTGTACTTGGCTACTGGGAAGAAGAGAGCCAGAATTTGTAAACCTCATGTTTTTTAATTCGCTCCATCATCACTAATCATAATTTCAAAATTCACTGAAGTCCTGGGCCACCTGCATTCTTCTCTTTGATTCGTATATTATCAAAGTTGTTAAATGGATAGCTGCTAATCATTGAAACGTGGCACCTTAAACATCATTTCTGGATTCGCACCCTCCCCTTGATGTGTTGACTTGGCCTCATGTGTCTAGTGTCTTCACCCATAGCTCTTATCACATGGTAATATAATTTCTTGTTTGCTTTGGTTCTTTTCTTCTCCCCTAGATTCTGGAGACTCTGTCTGTCTCATTCACTACTGTGGCCCACATACTATGTTCCCAGGGGGAAAAAGTCGAGTATAATTCACTTAGAAACTTTAGGGGAAAAATCTTAACTCTGGCCTCAGGGCATGATATGATTTATAGAATGTATTAACAATTGACTTAATGGGTCCCCAAAGAAATAGTTAATCATGTTGGATGACTGTTTTTATTTCTTTGTTTTTGTTTTGTTTGTTTTGTTTTGAGTCATGCTTTGAGAGTGCTGGAAACTGCATAGAGAAATGCCTAAAATATCAAGGTAGAAGCAAATAAAATCAAGACATAATATAGACAAAATAGTAAGATAGATTTTGTAGATAAAGTTCAGATACTATCTTGTATTATATAATTGCTGTGAGGGAGTATTACATTTAACACTGAACTTTGTATTACATAAAGCAGAGAAAGAACATTGCCTATTCTGTTATGAAGCTTATAGAATTCGTAAGGTCAAAATCATGTTGCTTGTTAAGGAAAGGATGACTTTTTTTGCTTTAGGATTAAGAGAAATGTGTTCTGTGTAAGACTATGCTCTAAAGACAAGTCAGTGGTGAAAGTAATAGCAGTTTCACCTGGTAGTTTTACTGGTGGCAACATAAGATGTAATATCAGACTCTGCTATATAATGATTCTGCAAGAAGGAACAACCTTGTAATATAGTATTATTTCCCTGGGTTGTATTTTTAGCTAATCGTATGTTGAAATTCCCCAGCTAAAAAAAAAAGATTATATTATTAACAGTCATTTTGAATGAAACTCTTCAATGTGAGAGCATTTCCCCATGGGTAAGAGTAAGTGAAAGGCCACTTAGTGCTGCAGAAATGTGAGATGATATTGGGAGTTCAGGCAACATTTCAAGGATTATTTCTTCTTCTCTTATTAGTATTATGGTACTTGGTAAGTATTTGTAATAAAGACCATTGGAAATATACCACGTGTTCAGTTAACTTAAATCACTACTGTGCTTAATGGATACTTCTGCAATAAAAAAAGAGAGGGGTGGAGAGGGAGGAAAGGAGGGAGGAAGGAGTTGTAATTTAAATGGTATGAGAGTAAGTCTATTTATTTTCTATGTATGTGACCTCGCAAAAACGTGAGATTGATTCTATTTCATTCCTTGCACATCTGAAAATGTGAGTGAGTATCTTGCTACTCCAAAGACGATTCTGGTATTTAAAGATACATCTTCATATCCTATGATCTCTAAAAATATCCAGTTCCTTCGTCTGCTGTCCGATCAAAGAAACGCTAATATATTCTATTTCTGAAAAACAAAACCAACCAAAACTATGCTCTATTGGAATTTCCGGGACATACACTTCAGCAGCCAATCTTTTTGGCAGCAGGGATGGGCTTCATGGAAAACAATTTTTCCATGGAATGGTGGGGGGTCCAGGTAGAAGTGTGTGGTTTCCGGGTGATTCTAAGGAGCCTGCACCCTCGATCCTCACCAGAACAGTTCAAAGTAGGGTTTGCACTCCTATGAGCTTCTCCTGCCACACCTGATCTGACGGAAGGCAGCAGTCGGATGGAAACATACATAGGAGCAACTAGAATATACATGAAGTTTCTGTCTTCTCTGCTTGTCTGCCACTCGGCTGCCGCTCCCGCTGTGCACCCCTCTTCCTAACCAGCCATGAACCATTACTTGTCCCTGACCTGTGAGTTTGGGAGTCCCTGATAGATGTACTTGGTTAGGGATAGATAAGGAATTTTCTGGGCTAATTTTAAATGTTCACTTTTCTCCTCACCTGCTGACTCTAAAGTATGTTTCTCAACACATCTACTGTGTGTATGCAAGTATGGTATGGTGGCCGAGAAGTTAGCAAGTGTACTGGTTATAATGTCAGAAAGACCTAGATTTAAAGGTGGGATTCCCCACAAGTTGACACATTATTTAACTTTTCCAGCCTGGGTATCGTCATAGGGAGAATGAGATTCATGATGTCTGCTTCATCACACTGGTGAATAAGGCAGTGCATGGGAAAGCATTTAATACCCAACAATACCTGATTATTACTACAACACACTGATTCTTCATGAATGAGGAGATTTACAGTTTGAGTGTGAAAAGTGTGAAGATAACTTTTGTGGTAGATATCTGCCTTTACTTTAGTTGCATTTACAAGGTTACTTGTTTTATATGCCAAGTTTCCGTTATTAATACAATTTAATCACATAAGAAGAAAAGGAAGTGAGGTATTCATGATGTCTTATGAACGTAGTGTGTGTGTGTGTGTGTGTGTGTGTGTGTGTGTGTGTGTGTGAAGAGAAGGAAAGAGAGAGAAAGAAATTCTGAGTATATATGCTCACTGATATTTATGTGTACGGGTAGCAGGAAGGATTGACTTCCATTCTTTCCAAACAGTTTGACTTTAAGAAAAGCCCTTTCCCTTTAGGGTTATTTTACTCCAAAATTTACTTTAGGCATAAATCACAAGTCAAAGGCTACTGATAACACAGTGTGATGAGTGTCTCTGCCATGCCTGCGTGAATTCTCACACCCCACTCTCTGGACCATGGGGCCTGCGCATAGTCTCTCTAAGCCAGTGAAGCTGAACCTTTCAGAACTTTCAGTGATGTTAAACAGCCTCTGTGGCATGCATGCCGTATGTTTGCCACCACTGCCCTAAGCTTTCAAAGAATACTTTGTTTCTTCTCTCGCATATATCCTGGAAGATTTAACTAAGTGTCGATCCTACTTCGTGTTGAATCTTCCAAGAGGACAGTAATACGATTTACTCAGATGATAAGATTTTGTAAAGCAGTTATATTTGCATAAATTGTCCTGTAATGGATGCACACTGTAGTGTCAACAAAAGCAATTTATTGCTGCATGTTGCAGGGAATGAGAGAGAATTCGTCTCGATATGCTTAAAAATCCAGGACGACTCAATAACCTAAATGTCCTGAGTCATAACGACTCTTTTTTTCTAAGTAAAGGTCATGACAAATGTTTACGATAGCATATTACATTAACGTATTCCAAATCCTTGGAACCAAATTCATTTTAAGGAATATAAGAGTACGGACCACATATGAGTTGTGATTGAAATACACAGCAAATGCTTAAATGAAAGCAAACAAATTACGATAAAGGACACATCGCCATTTTCTCCCTCAGAATACTTTCCCTCCCTTGGCGCAC